AGCTCTTAGAGATAGATGTAGCTGACCTTGAGGGTGCCACAGCTTCAGAGAGAGATTTACTTTTTTTGAGTGGCACAGGAATTTGAGAGGTGCTTAGATGAAGAGTTCCAGGTTTCCCTGTCTCATTAAACACTGATAAAAATCCTTCCTGCCATGCACACCCTATTAAAAAAATCTAATCTTTTATGCAGTTATCTTTTTGCATTCCTAGGACCCAGGATGGTGGTCCTGCTTCTGTGGTGTGTGTGTGGCAGATGGGGTGGGAAGGGGAAATCTGCTGCTGAGACCAGGATATGGGTCTTAGAGTCAGGATCTGGAGTCCAGGCCAGGACTGCCACCAATCAGCTGTCTATAGTCAGAACTCTCTGGCCATACCAGCTTCTCATAAACTCCAAACTAAGCATTAGCTCTTCCACCTCCTCACCCTCCTCTGATCACAGACCCATCCTCCCAGGCAACCAAGCAAAGGTGTAGCTGCACCTTTGTGCCAGTGTTAGTTACTTAACCACACGGAAAACTTCCTCCCTGTGTTACCAAAAGGAACAGCAGCCTCCACAATGTAGCTTTATGTCCAGTCCTGGTATATCACCCCCCCCCAGCCCAACCATCCCTCCCTCCCAATAATACATAACAAATTCTGCATATTTTAAATGTGGTAAGCCCGGTAGTACATCTAGAGAGTAATTAGTGGTCATTGGAGAGTTGCTTCTCTCTCCAAGTCCCAGGCTGAGGTGCAGGTAGTGGCCTGAGAGATCCCAGAAGCCCTTGAAGTTCTCTTCCTTGTGGTTGGATACACTGGGGCTTAAGAAGTTTCTCTTTTCTTTCTTTTTAAAAAAATGTCGATTGTCTTTTAGGGAAGGGAAAGACCAGAAGGCAGGTAGCTTAGAGAGAGAGTGTTTGGAATTGCGAGGTTGCTTCTACTGAGAATTGCTTTTGCTGGCCTTCAAATCCCCATTCATTTCATCCTCAAGTCAAAATCCTCCGGCAGGCGGAGAGGAATGGCCTCCAGGACTGGGATCCTGCCCTCCCCTTCCCCAGAAGTGGGCTTTCTCCTTTCCCCTGCGAATGGCAGAAGCTGGGCACCAGGAAGGAGTTGGAAGTAAGGGACCGCCCGGGCGCCCGGTGAGGTTCTTTCGGTGACGGTTTCCACCCCGGGAGGGGGGATCACCTACCGTGCCCCCTTACCCTGGTTGCAGATAACAGAAGGTGGACGTGCCTCGGTGCAGATCCAGGCCTTGCCGAGAGCAAGGAACCCGAAAAGACGCTCCCGGCCTCGGATTGCACTCCCGAGGCAGCACACGGAAGAGGACAGGGCCCGGATCCTGCCCCAAACGCCACACTGTCCCGCAGGGGAGAATAGGGGTCTGGGACCCGCTGACCTTCCCTGGCCCTCGGTGGCTACGAGTTCCCGACGCGCCTGGAAGCCGGCGAACCAGCAGGTAACCAGCGCTGGTTACCTGCCTGCGCTCTCCAGCTACCGGGGCGGGGCGAGACGGGCTCCCGGGGGCACGATCGCAGAAACCCAGGATTGCAGGCACTCAGTGCAAAGCCGCTCACCTACCCGGGGCGTCCCAATATATTTTTTCCAGCATGATTCCTAGAACAAATCGGGGGTGGATGGTAAAGACCTGGGGCGGGGGGAGTCGTACCCAAAATGAAAGAGAAATATGGGGAATGCAAAAAAATATCTCTGACTCCCAAAGTGTTGGAACAGCGATCCATGGCAAGGAACAGCCTCGGGAGAAAAACAGGACCAATCTGACCGGGAGGGAACCTTCAAGTGCGGAGTGCGGGGCGGAGAGCGGGTGGAGGGAGCGTTCTTCTCTCCCACCGCTGGGGTGTGTTTTTACATGTTTTCTTAGCAGCCAGTTCCATAAACAGGTCAGCCCTACGCTGCAAGCCCAGGGAGTTTCAGCCGGGCTCCAGCTTCCAGAGGAGCCCCGCTCTTTCCCACTCCTCGCCCCCCCCCCTGCAAGCCGAGGGCGCCGTAGGGTGGGGAGGAGGGGACACCGCCTCCCACTTCTGACTTGCAGGGTTTGCTTTTGAAATGGCTCCTCTTGTCTTCAGACGGTAAAATATGAGTTCCCCACATGTCACAATCTGGTCTTCTGGTACCTCAAGCATGATTTGGGGAGGGTGGGGGTGGCTGCTCTAATTACCTCTGAGCTGGGTGGGGGTGGGGCGGGGGGATTCTCTCTTTGCAGCCCTGCCCTACTGGGGTGCCGGGACGCATGCATTATTAAACCCAGACGCTGGGTCCAGGGGTTGGGGCCATGCGGAAAAGATTTACAATTAAGCCAACTGGGGCCGAATACAGTCATCCAACGTTTGCAGGTGTAAATAATGCCTAGTTTTTTTCCCCCCCCCCTCGTTCCAAGCGACTTCATCTCCCACCCCCACACCGCCCTTCCCACAACTGTAGACCTTTGGAGAAAAGGGGAGAGAAGAAGGGAGGGTGCGGCCGAATTAGAATTTTCTGTTAGACAAGTTCAAATATGACAGTGGCATTCACTTTTATGTTTATGTATCAATGCCGTGAGGAACCCGGATGGGCTTCTCTGTTCCATTTCTCCATTTAGAATTTGAGAATAGCTGGAGTCAATGGAAGGCCTTTCTTTCCACTCTAGTTATGGTTTTCTAAAGGGAGTTTTAAGATGTTGTAGTTGAATTGTGAAGCTTTTTAGTCGTGGACATTGGATGAGAGAGGGGTAAGAGACCCAGGAGATTCCCTTTGGTCGGGGGATCTGAGTATTGTCCCCAAACTAAACCTGGAGGAGACGTGGGCCTGGCTTGCTGGGGGAAAGCAGAGGCACGATTCGTTCTAAAGCTTCTATTTAGATCTTCCTAGTGTTTGGAGAGTTTACTGAGCCGTGCATGGGTCCAACTTCAAGCTTCTATTCCACGGCATTATTTAAATGTAAGAGAATGTTAGAAAAAAAATGTTCTTTGTGGGTACAAGTGTGTACATATGGACATTCCAAGTAGCCCAGAATATGAAATTAAATCTCAGATTTAAAAATGCATTGCAATCACACCCCACGGGCAGACTCCAATTTGATCAATATAGACAGAGTTAAATTTGTTTTGCAGCTACGCAGCTACTCCTTTTCTCTCGGAGCAATAAAGTCTGTCTGTTACAAATTACCAGGGAATTGGAGAGTTTGCCCCCCCACCGTTGTTCGATGTTTTGAGTCTCCCACTAACCCGCTCAATAATATATGTAATATGTGTGTACACAGGCACTTTTCCAAAAAATTAGTGATAACATTCCGGGTGTATGAAGAGTGGCGTTTTCCCTCTCTTTGCATTTAGGATTCGTTGCAGGGCTCGGTTACCACTCTGGAGACGCAGCAGTGGTGGGATTGACACCCACCGGAGCCTCGGGGAGGAAGTTTTCCGCCCATGGAGCATGTAAGGGCAGGGCGTCAAGGCGCCTGACTCCAGCCAGGATAAGGTCATAGGTGTAGAATTAGGAAGGCAGGACTTAACATGTTCGAGGCGGAGGGAGATTGCAAGCGTCACCCAGCCTGGATTGAACACCCTCCCACCCCCCCTCCAGCCGCCACAGTGGTGGCGCACTTTTCTTCCTCCACCTTTTAAACAGTCCTTTTCCGAGGCACATGATGTGCATATATCAAGGGGAAGGGGCTCGATGACCCCCAAATCAGTCCTCACCAGAACGGAAGTGCCCAGCTAGGGAGAGGAATGGAAGAAGAACCAATGCCCCCTTGGGAACCAACAGGATTCGCCGTCTCGCCGCTGGATGGCGCTCCCTCGAGACGCGGCTGGCACCAGTCTGGGCGCTACTGCGCCTGGGCGAATCTCCGGGGACCCATGGGGTTGGGGGAGAGGCCCCAGTTTGGAGCCTCCGAGATGGTAGTTCCAGACACTTGGCGATGTCAAAGTTTTTCTTGGAGGCTGGGGCCAGACAGTTACCCAGAGCCTTCCGTATCTGGAGGGTGGAACAAGGGGACAGGGGCTGGTGAGAACCGGGATGTGGGGAGAGAGCCCTTGAGCGAACCAGCAACTCATAGCTAAGGCTCCACCTGCCCGGTAAACAGGCAAGCTGTGTGTGTGTGTGTGTGTGTGTGTGTGTGTGTGTGTGTATGTTGATGGTGGTGAAGAAAGCTGGAGAGGAGGCTAGCCAGACAGCTTGGAGATGCAAGAACAGAGTTCCGAAACTTGCCACACTGCTCCCCTTTGCTGAATCCCAACTGCTGGGGTGGAAATTGGAGTGGCTGTGCTTACCCTGGATCAATCTGAATTGTACCTGCAATTGGGAACCACAGGACTGGGATGCACCTCACCTTCATGACTTTGCAATGATAAGGGTGTAGGGCCCCTTGGAGATTGGGCATTACCCACTTCCAGGTGTCAGGGGTCATTAGAAAAGATCTCCACCAAGGTGAACTCACACTGGCTGTTTCTGGGGGAGCTGTAGGCTATATCATTGGGAAAAATAAATTCATTCATTTAACATGAATTGAGTGTGGGCTGCATAACACTACCTGCCAAATGCCAATGTCTCGGGTAATGGCTCTCAGCAACTACCAGGTTTTGCCTTTAGACTTCATGGTCTTGTCAAAAGTTACTTGAGAAGCTTGGGGAAAGAAAGCAATAACTGTAATTAAAAAAAAATGTGTGTCAAGGAGAGCTACAGGGTCTGGGTAGAAGAGCCGCATATTAGGACTTCAGGGGGGATGGCACTCATTTCTCCAAATGTGACCACAGTACTTGGATACTGTTAGATGCTCAGTATATTCATTAGCAGCAAGAATAAGAGTCAAGGAAAACAGGAAGACAAATAGAACACAGGGGACATCGTCCCTGCATTGGATAGAACACACGGCTGCTTTCAAAATTCATTAGAAGAAAACCAGCATCAAACTTATTAGCTGCTCCTCCAGTGGATTCCGATCCACCCAACAAGACAGGGAAAAGCAGACGTGGTCTAAACTAGGAAGTGATGTTTGGTATAAGAAGCAGAAAATCCCACTCCATCATGCCACAGATATTTATTAAGAGGATTCTGGGAGCCAGGTATCTTTGGAAGGGCTGGAAACTCAAGGTGAATACAAGCTCAAGCTCGATGCTTGCTGTTTTGAGTTTTGTTTACCATACTATTCCTCTTTTGAAGATGGGTTAGATTGAGGTCCATCCAGAAAGGGTGGGGAGCTGGGAGGTTGTTTCAAGGTCTTAGAGCAGAAAGGCAGAGCTAAATTGGCCAGCTCTCCACGGCTGTTTGTGGAGGTTGTGCTGAGTGGTTCCCACTCTCCAGAAGAGACAGCATTTGAGAGTTTTGAAAATCTTGAGGACATCCCTGACATGAAGGGCCGGGTCTACCCAGGCACCAGGAATGATCAAAGTCTAATCCCAACCATGGGTTTCTCAAAGGACTGTCTTGGATCTGCCTGTCTGGGTTCTGAGCTCAAAGGATCTAACCTCTTTGCCTACCAATAGGCAGTAATGCAGCTCTTCTTTCACTGAAAACTATGGGCTAGAGAGCTAAGGAGTGTCTCTCCAAGTCACATCTTTAAGAAATGACTACAAAAGAATTCGCCCCTCCCCCACAGGGTTTCTGCTGTACAGATCCCTCCCTCCATTAGTATCCCCAAAATTCAGCTCAGTCTCTGGGACGTGTTTTGTGATCATCAAATGTTTGCTGATTGAATAAACTAATTCTTGTTTAATTTCTTTTTGAATAGGACATAACTTTAAAAAAAAAAAAGATCAGAGACATAATGAGGCAGGATGGGAAGAGAAGCTCCATGCGATGCGCGGGGGTGAAACCTCTCCGATCACCCGCGGGTGCTCCCGGCGGGCTGGGCCACTTTCCACCAGCTTTGCAAAGACGCCTGCGATGATTTCCTTTCGCCTATATTTTGTCCCAGACTTCGTTCATGTGATCGATAAAGGAGACAAGCCAGCCCACCCCGAGGTCAATACAATCGATGCAGACCTTGACGGCCCCTCCAAGACGGGAGAAGTCTCTCCCGCTTCTGTGCGCTACAGAGTTCCACCCAAAAGATTTTGGGATTTTGGATTTCTCAAAGTTGTTCCTGAACTGGAGACAGGATGAGCTCCACCCAGGTGAGCCTCGGGATACCTGCCCAGGAGAGCGTCCCCCATTTCCACACCGAGTGTAGGGGTGAATTTATCACCCAGTCATTGGGTCTTGGAAGCCTCCTTGCAGAATTCGTTCTTGAACCTCTTGGCCTTGGGATCAGACTGTCAAATCGTCGATCAGATATCCCACTCTCCTTAGTTCCTTTTCCCCACTAGAGAAATAGGTTTAGTTATAAAATGCAGTCTATTGGAGAGGAAAATCCTCACCAAGATGAACTGTCCTGAGAGTTTCCCCCTAGGACAGTTCAGCGAGGAGAGAAACCCCAGGGGGCAAGCACTTTCCCTGTGATGGCCATTCTGCAGGCGGGGAACACCCAGACAGACAAACACTGAGATCCAAAGACTTGTAGGAGGTCCCACTTCTTGTGTTTGGGGGAACTGGGCTTCCCCCTGGAGCCCAAGGTGTTGTTTGGCTTTCAGTAGGCAGCAAAGTCACTTCCACAGTAGGTCCACAGCAGCGATCTGTTCTCTTTGTCCTTTAGAGGAGAAGGTGCCATTGAACCCTTTCCCAGGGAGATCTGGAAACAGCCTTCTTCCTCTGATCCCTTCAGGAAGCAATTGGTGGGCAGAGGACGCTACACTTAAACCCTGGAAATGTAGATATTTTTAATGGAACAAGGAAAAGATGGGAGAGTGTGTGTGTGTGTGTGTGTGTGTGTGTGTGTGTGTGTGTGTGTGATCAATATGGCCCAGACAGCCCTTTACAAAGGGGCTCCAGGCGGGCGCCTCTGCTGCAAGCCTCCACCCACCGCCCGCGGCGAATTAATTGGGCCCTAAAAGAAGGGGCGATGGAGCTTCCCGTTAATTAGTCAAGAAATGAATCAAGCCCTAGCGGCCTGGCAAGGGCTCCTGGGGCTCGGGTTTTGTGCAAGCCGAATTGGTCGGTGGGGCGCTGCGCCTGGGCGGGGTGGGGCGCGGCGGGAAACCCAGCGTGGACGCCTGGGTCCTCCTGCGCCCTGCGCCCTGCGCTCTCCAGGGCTGTTTCCGCCTGTCTGTCCCCCGCCTTGCTTCTTTCTTCCCCTTTCGATCTTGGTCCCCGCCCTTCCTCCCCTTCCTGGTTCTCTCCTGCTCCCTGGAGTTTTCTACCCGCCCGCTGTCGTGGTCGTTGGGTGGTCGTTGGTCTCGTTAAAGCTCCAGCCTCTGCCAGACGGTCGGTCTTGGGGCTGGGGGTTAGAGCCCTCGCCGGGGCTGTCGGGAATCCCTGACTCTGGAAGACTGGGTGGGAATGGACACCTGCCTAGGCGTCTGGTGTGTTCTTAATAGGAAGCTTGGCTCTGCTGTCGCCTTGGACCGGGGATGTTGATGGCATTTTGAAAGAACCCTCAGAGATTATGCAGGACTGTAAACCGGCGGCTTGGTAATCACCGTGTCCCCATAGCAGCAAGAATGGAGAAGTACGGCAGACCTGCCACACTGGAGTAATTATTGAGCATCTGCTGTGTTCCTACCTTCTATTCCCTGGCAAGCACCTCCTTCAACCTCTCCTGTTCACTAAGGCAGTGGAGAGCCAGTTTTTCTCTGTTGAAAAGAAGGGAGGAAAGGCACAAATCATTGACCCTTTTGGCTCCAAGTGCTGGATGCTCTTCCCTGAACTAAAAGGACAGGACTTGATACTAAGAGAAATGGGGCCATTTTCCTGAAGTCACCCAGCAAAGGGGGGCAAGGTTGAAGGTTCCATCCTCCAGCTGAGTGTGCTGACTGGCACTGGCCTGGCCAAGGGACTTAAGGGGTCATGTGTCCTCCTGCCCTGGCCTGACACCAAACTCAACAGGAGGGGGTCTCTGCAATCACCTTGCCCTTCAGCTTGGTGCTAGGATCCTAATTTCACATTCATCTCTTTGTCTCTCCCACAGCCTCTCTTCCCCCCCCCTCCTTCTCCTCCTCCTCCTCCTCCTCCTCCTCTTTCTCTTTCCAGCTGTTTTTCAACTATGCACAGAGAATCTGGGAAGGGAAGGTCAGATCCTCATCCTCTTTCTTCCAGTGGTTCGGGTAGCTGCCCAGGACTCCCGCTTGGAACTGAGTAGACATCCATCTGCGGTCGGTCCCCAGGCTCTGAGAGGCGGAAGCAATCCCGCCCTGGTTCCGTGTCCTCTCTGCCCTGTCGACCCCCTCCCCCTGCTCAGTCTGCTTCCCTGGGTCCTTGCAGCCTCCCGCAGATGATTTTGGGAAGGCAGCTGCCCGGAACCGCCTTCTTCCTTTGCCCGCTTGACCGACTTTGGCCCCGAGGTGCCTTCCGCGGCTCTCGGGAGGCCTGGCCGGCGCGCAAGGGCTGCACGAGCAAGCATCCCGCCATGTGCTTGAGGCCTCAGTTTCCCCGCATCCTTTCGGATAAGCGATGGGAGCAGGGAAGAAGGAGAATGGATTGGGAATTGTCAGGGCTGCGGCGCGCTTCAAAAATGGAACCACTGCTCGCCTTCAGAGCCTGGCGCTTGCGGCGGGGATGGAGCCCGGCGGTAGAGCGCCTGCTTTGCATGCACGAGGCCCTGGATTCCATCTCCAGTGCCAAAACCCTAAAATAAATAAATAAACAAAGCCACAAGCTTCGTACCTCACTCTTCTCCGGAGGCTTTTATCCACCTCTGCGCTCAGGAGACCTGACTGGGAATTTCTCACTTTCACTGAGTAAGGAGCTCTCCAGCTTCTAGACCCTGGTTTCTTTCAGTGGGGCCCACAGCCCGGCGGGGCTCAGCAGGCAGCACCTGCGGACTGGGCTGCACACCTAGCCTAGGACCAGTCAGGCCCTCACCCGCAGGTACATCCTCCTGTGGGGCCAGGATGCTTCCTGTGTGCCTGTCAGGTCCTTTGTGATGCTGTTGGTGATGGCGCCTTTATAGACCAGGTCATAAAGGCTGGCACACCCCTGCTGAGCTTAAGGGATGGCACACTCAGCCCTGGAATTTGGGGTGAATCCATTAACCCCTCTAAACCTCAGTTACCTCCTCTGACAAGGGGAACTAACAGGCCCAGCCCGAGGAGTCAATTGGGTCACGTGTGGGACATGGCTGGGCCTGACCCCTAGCACATAGTAAGTGCTCATTCATCATTGGAGATTGGGCATGCTAAGTTACCAGAAGGGTTTTGGATCTTTTCATACTTTGGAATATTTGCACGTGCGTCATGAGATATCGTGGGCAGGAGACCCAAGTCTAAACATGAAATTCACTTATGTTTCGTACACATCCCATACACAGAACGAAGGGGATTTTATACAGTATTTTTCATGTTGCCTGTGTTTTGACTGTGACTCATCGCACGAGGTCAGGTGTGGGATTTTCGATTTCGATTTTGAAATTTTGCATTAGGGCTGCTCACTGTGTGTGTGTGTGTGTGTGGAGAGAGAGAGAATACTCTGTTCTTCAGTTTCTCTCTCTGAAGACTCCTGGCATATACTCAGCCCTCTATGGGCCCCTTTCCTGAATCCCAGGATCTCCAAAACCTTGAGACACCCGGAGATAAAGTGCTCCCTCCCTTCCTCACACTGCAGTGGGTGTCCTTGCTGGGCTTGGAGACTAGGTGTCCTGACTCCAGGTGCAATATGATGTCTTCTCTGTCTTTCTCATTCTGCCCAGGTCTCCCCAGGGGAGGGGAAAGCAATGATCAGCAAGGGAAAAGAGCTTTGGAGAAAGAAGGAACACTGGTGGGTGCTTGGAGTGTCCCTGGGTGGGATCCCCAGCAGCAGTGAACTCTGCATGATCAGGGGGGATTTCTGACTCCTAGGCAGGGCCCTGGGAGCCTCTGTGCATGGTTGATGTCCCCTCCCAGGGTCAGACTGCACCTGGCCAACTCCTAGTCACCTGCAGAAGCTCACTGTCCCCCTCCCCAGTCCTCTGGGTCCCTGCAGATCCACAGGGGCAAGAGACTGACCATTCCTCCTCCATGAGAGCCAGGGTGGGGGAGCTTCAGGATGGTGAGAAATGACCCAGGACAGTGACAGGGAGCAGGGGAGAGAAAGAGAGTAAGGCACTTAGATAGAAGAAGGAGAAAACAGGGAAGAAGACAGATGGACATGGAGGGATTGAAAGACAGAGCCTGGGAGGCGTGGTAGCAAGAAGAGGAGGGGGAAGAGACAGGGGCAGTTTATAGGCACAGCCCCGTCATGTCACACCATGACACCAAGGAGACAAAGGCAGAGAAAAGTACCTAAAGGCAGGGAGAAAGCTGAAAAATTTTTAAAAAATGAAAATATGAGGAAGGCTCGTGACCGGGTGTTCCCTAACATCCGCGGGCCATTATCTTGCCCCATAGAAATGCTTCCATTAAATCAAAACCGAGCTGCTAATTCCCTGAGCGGCCTAATTCCCTGAGCGGCCTCCATCCCTGGGGGAGTGTGGTTTTAAAAACTCTAGAAAGCATCCCGTCCTGGGATCTCAGGAGATGAGTTATCATTCATTAGGGGTTTCCAGGGGCCCTACAGGGCCTCTGGGGTAGAGGGTGGGGAGTGTGTGGCCAAGGGCTTGTGGGGAACGACTCTGCCACCTGAGTCACAATGAAGCACCCCCCTCCCCCTCAGATGGCACCTGGTGGGTGTGCCTGGAGGTGTCGGGGTGGGGAGGGGGTGCTTCATTGTGACTCAGGTGCCATCCAGTTGGCCCAGAGGAGGATGTGGGGTCTTCCCAGGGCCCTGGGATTCCCAGAGTGCACTTGGTCAGCTGGACAGCAGCCCTCCCAATCCCCCAGTGCCTCCCTGGAGAGTGATGGGTGGGGAGCAGCCACGGCCCTCCTGCCCCCAGCATCTTGTGACACTTGACAGGAGTCCC